AAAAAAATGGATTATTTAAGTTAATTTATTCATTTATTATTATTATAAATTAAAATCACAGTATAAAATAATTTCAAATAGTTCCAAACATTTCGACCTTTAATATAATCTTATTCAGTAAATTCTACATTGTCATACAAATTGAACATTACAATTAAAATATATAGCTTTACAGTTATTACAACTTTTTCATGTTTGTATCCTCCTCAGTATTTACAATCAGAAATCCATAATTAGTTCCTTGACATTTAAATATTATTTAAATATGTTATTTAAATATTTATTAGCATTGATAATAGACTGTTCCATGTATCTTGCAGGAATGGGAAGTAACTCGTTACTTGTAACAAAGTTACAGTTAGAGTTACTTTTTTTCAGTAATTGTAACTTAACTTAGTTATTTTCTTTCCATCTGTAATTATAACTTAATTTAGTTACATCTTTTAAGTAACTAGTAACTAATTTAATAGTTACATTCATATTTATTTTACATATTTTAAACTTATTTGTCAATTTAATGTGCGGTAGTGTCTACTACAAGTTGGCGCTACAAGTACTTCAAAACATTTGATTAATCAGAAAAAAGAAATTTAATTACGTTCAATGAACTCTTGTACCTGTTTGGTCCATATTTTTGGATCTAACAGAATCCGCCAATCAAATGCAAGAGCTCTCAATGAACGGTTGTAGACCATTTTGGATTAGTGCTAGAATTTATTTGCAACTTTTAGCCGAATATAAAAAGAATTTTTTTTATAAAAAACGTTGTATATGTGTGCTATTTCATATTCATATTCCTATGTGTTTATATTACTTTAACGAAAAACCTCTTTGCCATACAATTTTCTTATCTTTTTAAATAAAATTGTACAATATGTAAATGTAAGCCAGTCTTTTTTTTTTAATTGTTCTAGGCTGCATTACTCTGATTACTCCGTGTATTATCCTTGTTTAATATTAGATGAAAAACAAGGATAAAACGATACATGAAGGCAGTTGGATAACGTTTCTGAATACAGCCCTAATGGTATCGATACTAGTAGTAAAAATTTCGATGAAAAAAGTAACTTAAAAGTAACTTAAAGTTACTTTTTCAGTAACTGTAACTGTAACGAATTACTTTTCAGAGTTAATAACTTGTAACGGTAATTAATTACTTTTTGAAAGAGAAAAACTGTAACTGTAATTAATTACTTTTACAAAGTAACTTTCCCATCCCTGGTATCTTGTAATATTACATAACGTCTGTACTGAATGTTGTAAGAAAAGAAATTTGTAAAAAAATATTCAATCTTCTGGTAAAAAAATTCATAATATATTTCTCATATTGTTTAAAAAAATTTTAATTTAAATTTATGAAGATTTCTGAAAAATACTTCTTAACTTTTTGAAGATGACAGCTTTTTAATAAAGAAACTTAAAAGAAATCTTGTTTTCTAATAATGAATTTCATTGAATATTCTCAGTATGCGTATTGATAAACATTAAAGTTGTCAATCACAAATTTGTCGTAAATGTGTTTAATATAAATATAAAAATTAGTTAAACCGTAAAATTGTCAATATATTTTATTGTATTGTTAAATAAAAATGTATTTTACAATTCGAAATATTTGCATTTCACTTTTACACAACTTTAAATCAGAATACAAAAACTTTAATATAGTTTTCGTCAGGGTCATCTTAAAAATTAATTCAAACAACGTATAATTTTGTTCGATCTTTTATTGAAAATTTGTATTGAAATTTGTATTGAATTTCGTGGGTCAGCCGCCTTCAATTGGGAGGATCCGTTCGATCTAGAGTCGCAATTGA